TATTTTTAACGTTAAAAAGAGTAGGCTTTGTTAGAGTAGCATTAAAGTTTAATAATGTTAGATATTGCGTGTGAATGAAAATTTTACTTTCACCTGCTGCATATACAGATATTCGACAACATAAGTCAATAGCCAAAATCTTCCTTACAAAATTAAAAATCAACTTATTATTAAAAGAGGATAAGCCTCGCAGAGAGGTTTTCATTGCTTGGCAGGACGCCTTGGGCTCCTGCTGTGCAGACAGGCTTGACACCAAGAAGCCCAGAGTCCAAAGGTCTGATTTCTGGGATATTAAGCACTTGTCTCCCACCGATCTTATTTAGGCTTTTGGCTGCTGAGTACCTCTAATCAGACCTGTGTGTCATAAACTGGACACCAAACAAACTACTGCTTAAAAAACTGTGGATTTTATGGATTTATTTTTAAGAGATGTTCCATCCGTTTAGTTTCTGAGTATTTTTCCAGGACAACAGAAAATTCAGAGGAATCCAGATTTTGCAGAAAAGACTTATTGTGACAAGTGTATTTGCATTTATCTGTAACAACACTTAGCCTGTAACCCCCAGAGCGAGAGGCTCAGGCTCTGGCCTCGGATGACGCTGCCTGTCAGCAAGGCGAGAGAACTGGGGGCCGATATAAAAGCTACAAGTATCTATTCTCCAAAAAAGCTGATTAACAGCCTAAGCCCCCGAACGCTTTCCATTGTGTGCGCATGCAAGTGCATGAGCAAAATACCCATGTTTCACTGCATATTATGCTGCCATTATTTTTGACTACAATAGTTCTCTTGGCATTCACGCTAAATGAATGGTAAGTTCATTTCAGCTGAAAGCCTAAACAAACAAGCTCTAACAATAAAAATAAATCAGATTGCTGCAGTACTTTCAAGTAGCTGGTAAAAATATTTTAATCAAATAACTCAGCTGTAACCCTCGACAACTGCTGCGAAGGTTAAGACTGTGGGACTTAATATTCTAGTGAGAAAACATACAGAATTATTCAAAACATTTAATTTCATCGCTGTTGCTTGGCTCACATGAAAAGCCAAAAATGGCAGTCTGAATTTTTATCATTCCCTTCCCAAACTGAACCCTCCAACAAAATAGAGGACAATGAAATATTCAGAAAGACAAGCCATTTAGCAAGAAAATACAGTGCTAAATAAAAATAGCCCTGACCAGACTGGTGTGGTATAGCACAAAAAAAAAAAAGGAACTGAGCAGGAGAACAGGTCCGTATTTAAGACACTGTGTTGGTATGTACAAGAGCCAAGTTCAATTTGCAAGGATAGCACAGACCGACAGCTTTGCCCAGGCACACACAGGAGCTGATTGCCACTATTTCATGGGAATATACCTCTAGGCAGGAGCTCAACCCTCTGAGCTGCTCCAATGCTGAAAGCCAGCGAGAACCCTACAGATAACGCTGTTCAGATTTGCTCGTGTAACGAAAATTAGAATTTCATTTTGAAAGATCAGGCTCTCACTGAAGTCTATGGGAATTGAACTTCAATGAAGTTGGTGTCAGGCCTCTTTCTGCAAGATGAGCAATATACAGTTTCAAACATATTCTGACTTAACCTCAATGAAATGAGAAATAATTTAACTAACTGCAGTCCATGCACTTACATCAGATTAAAACAAGTGCTTAGAGCGCCTGTGATATAATGTAGTTTCTGTTCAAGGAAATTGGAGCTGCTTAGGAGCTAAAAATATTGCTGTTTGCCTGTTTTTCTAAAGCGAACCTTATCCAGAGATGACCAGATTATTTTTTTCAGGCTATAGGTAAACAGCATGGTCATCTAATGCAACATCATGCAGTGTAAAGATCTTCTGACTGTCTGCTTCAGGTCCCATAGCTGCAACTGAACCAGTAAAATGCTTCAAGGGAAGCCATCTAAAGGAAAATGTGAGTGACAAACCTGTTCCTGTCCTCAGAAACTTGTTCCCTCACCATAAGAAACTGTTATTTCTGGTCTGAATTTTTACAGCAATGGTTTCCAAGCCCTGGAGCTAAAATTTTGCTTTTAGATTGGAAGCTGTTCAAAGTAGTGTTCACCATGCAGGTACTTATGGGTCATGATCAACCACCAAATAAGCTTCCCTTTGATAGACTAAGGGGATTATGCTCTTTGATTATCTCTGTAAGAGATGTTTTCCAACCAATCAATCCCCTCTGAATTCTCTCCAATTCCTTGACCAACATGAGTCAGAGGTATCTGCTGTTTGGAATGGGCTCCAGAGTTGTGTACGATGAGGCCCTACACTTCTGAAAATGTTTCATTTCTAAGTCTGTTTACCACCCCATACATGTCTGGGGACCCAAAGATCAAGAGAACAGTGGGAACAAGCATGGTCTGTGGAAGACACTGTTTTAGACAGCTCTTCAAAGCCAAGGACCACAGGCCATGCCTCTGGGCCCTGGCCTGCAGATTTGCCCTTCGGTGACAGTGTGTTTGGACGTTATCCAGCTCGTAACGCTGTGCGCTCCCAAGCTGCAATTTTCAGGCAGCTCCTTGAGAACAAGTTCCCTCTTTGGTTCACTGGTGCGTGTCCAGTAACCTCAAAGTCACAGCTCCGAAAGCAAGAGGAGAACAAGCTCTTTGACCATTTTTTCTTTTTTTTTTTTTTTTTTGGTAAGAGCACAAAACCTTCCTCACTGTGCCAGGCTCCACGGGCCATGGCCGTCTAATAGCCTGAACTCTTTGATGCAAACACAATAAAACCAAACTTATCAAAAGGATACAACAGTAAAAATATTCCCCAATTTCCCCTCAAATCACAGTCTTGATCAGAACCTGGTACTTCAGAGACACAGCAATGTCTTTCTTTGATGGCAAATGATCTTTCTGTGAGTGATAAAACAGGAGAGAAATTTCTGTCCCAGGAGCCGCTGCTTTCTAGGAAGGTGTTTAACTTCTTTACAAATGACTCAGATTGCTTCATGTTACAACCAAGAACATGTTCTTTCTTCTCTTCTGCATCAAATATCTAAACATCAGTCCATTAGCATAAGTAGTTGCACACTAGAAATAGAGAGATCTTTTAAATTGGAACCAAAAAAAATCAATATTAGATGTTTCTTAGTTTCTCTTTGGCTATTTAAACTGAGTAAATAAAGGAATGGATCATTAGTTTACTTACAAAAGGAGCATAAAAATAATAGTTTTAACCAGCCACCTTTATCGTTTCCATTAGAAAATTTGATTTAAACAATTGTAGATAAAGCCTTTTGAGTCCAACTGCACCTAATTAAGGTAAATTAAAAATTTCAGGGGAAAAAAAACAACACTCATAAAACACTCCCAAACAAAGCACTTCTTTTTATTTGAGCTTGAATATTCATTACCATAAGAAAAAAATCCCAAGGCAAATTAAGACTTTATGAGTTGAAACTTCCCCTGATTACCATTGCTCTAATGACACGTGGGCCAGCCCACCTCTCACAGTTTGCTGGGTTTCATGCACCTCAAAAACTCCCATCTGGTGGGAGCTGCTCGTGGTTAAAGAAAGAAATCTAAAATAGGTGAAAATCACAACCGTCTTGCACTGTCTCAGCACTGCATGTGAAAACAGCAGTCGAGCACGTCCAACTCTTCCAAACACACTGCAAAAAGCACTGAAACATCTCAGTAAAGAGAAGTGAAATGCAGCAGTTGTCTCCAAAAAATGGAAGATGGTTTCATATCTATTTCCAGCATACTCCAGAGGTCCAAAGGGCCCCGCTCTTATACGGGCTCTCCAGCCCAGGTCAACCAGGCTCCCTTCCTGGCCAGGGGTTCAGGAAGACAAGGCAAGTGAAGGGCAAAATCATCCCAGAAACTTCATTGCCAACCTCCTCTGTCAGCAGCAGGAGCCCCAGGTCTCCAAGTCCCCATCCGTCCTCATTTTTTGAGTCATCCTCAGCTGGAGCTGCCAGCGGCCACGGAAGCATCACGGTGCCATCAAGCCAAGCATGACTTCCAGAGGGAGTCCAGGAAAAGGGCAAGCCCAAACCTTCCATGCCAGCTATGTAAGCCTGGCAGCACCCCCAAGCCAACTAATTAACCACATACCTTTGAAGGGAAGCTGCTGCTAATAACATTTTTCCAGAAAGTTGCTCCATTCTCTTGCCTAAATGCAACCAAGGAATCAACACACGGGCTCTGATACCAACCATGCTCTGCACTTGGGGGGTCAATATAGCCTAAACAGCCAAATAATCATGCTGCTCTCTCAATACATAAAAAATTTATGGTCACTGCAATATTTCAGCAAAGGCGCTTTTTGAAGGAGGAACAGTCTGCAGAGCAATTAGGATGAAAAAGCGTTTTGGCTGCCTTTGGCTCAGCAGCTCGCTCACCTATCACGGGAGGAAATTTATGCTGCTGCAGAAAACCCGCATGGAAAAGCTGGAAGGAGAGCACCTCCCAGCACCCTCCGGTTCCCTGGATGTTGCAGTGGTAAGAAGCTTCTCTGCAGTGCCAGAAATATATACATATTAAAATGACAGAGCCAGTATCATAAATAACGTTAAATAATCAAGTCTTTACCACTACCATCACCACAATTAAGTCTTTTCTTCTCACATTTATGGTAGTTGTTCCAAGGGCTCAATACAAAGAATGATGCTGTTCCCTCTAGTTTGGACCATGTTTTCCTCACCTGCCTAGCTGGAGACCAGGCCTCCTGCTTGAAACCTCCTGATTTAATCATGATTAAGGGAATTAGGGGGCTGACCTGCAGACCTCTCATTTTGGGAAAAGAAATTCCACTATTCCAAGAAACCATATTCTCCACCATTAAAATCTTAACTAGTTGTTTCTTATCAAGAGTTACAGCTAAATCCAAATTTTATTTGTTTTTCATTCCAGACCAAATGAGCACATACCTTGTGGCTCAGGTCTTTCAGCTTTGGAGGATGAACAGCAAAGATAAATTTAAGGACAAATAACCAGGTTTACATATATTACCTAAACAGTGAACTAATTACAATGGGCTTCTTAATGCCACGCTCCAAAAGAGAAGCATGTGTGTTTGCAGAGCCTGATTTGGAGGGACAGACGGCTCCCTCCTGAGTGTCCTGGCTGAGACAACTCTCAGGTCATACCACCAGCCCCACGGATGCAGTAAATATATGTATTTTTTAAATTCAATCACCCACTGACATCTAGACTGAAATTACCAAGTGCATGACATGCTCCACGAGCTGTGAGTGCCCTCCAAGCCAGAATGTTCTGGCATTTCTGATGCCCAAACCCATTTTTGGTGGCACAGTTTGAGTGGCAGCAGGAGTTTCTTTATATCACAGCTGGGCTTCAGGGGACCTTCTCCCCACTGCTCAGTCCATTTATGGGGACTGAACACTTTGGAACCTTAAAAATTTTGGCTTAGCTGCTCTATCTGTGCAGCAGAGCTCTTAGACCTTAGCATCTTAAACATGGCATGCAACATTATTGTGTGAACACGTAGGACTGAAATATTGGAGAAAAAGAGGGCCTGAGGGAAAAGAAGGTTTGTTTTCTGAGCTCCATTTACAAAATCTCATTTCTTCAATGTCCATCCTGCTCACTGGAGACTTTAAACCCCTGAGTCAAAGGCAGCCCCTTCCCACACGAGCAGTTTGCAAACTGCACCTGGGACGAAAACACCTTGTCACCTCCAGGTGCTCTGACAAACTCAGTGACTCCAGAAAAAACAGCAGGACGGGAGCAAATAAAAGAGCCTGTGTTACATTTGCTTCTCCTCAGACCTCAAGTATGTGAAGCATAATAAAAAAATACATTTCATGAGACTAATCTGTTTCATCTATAGAAAATACTGAAAGGTAGGAGGGAGAGAGACTGTACTTTTTTTTTTTTTTTTTTTTTTAGTACTAGTACATATAGTCTATGTATATAGTCTGTCTTCTCCTGCATAGCCACACGCTGCCTGTAAAGCTGTGCATTTTTTTTTCCTCTGTTCAAGACTTAATTGTCCTGCATATTTCTTGCCTGTATCTGCCACTTTCAGGTGGGGTGTTTCAAACTAGTTGCACTCTTTCGAAGGGGGAAAGTTCCTGGGATCAGTAAATCAAGCTGAACAATTCAGAGCAATCCCCCTTTTGCAGAAAACAAGCCTGCTACCCTCCCCACTCTCCCTATAGTGTTGCTGTTAACATTATCTGTATGAGCCAGGCATTGGCAAGGAGATGGAAAAAGGGAAAAAAAAATGACAGGACATTGTAAGAGAATTTAATGAAGTGGCTCCAAATATTGTATCAAAATAAATGAAGTGAATAATGCAAGAGCTCATTCCAGGTCCCTTCTACAACAATAACTATTGTGCGAGCGGCTCATTTGAGGAGATGGAGATGGATGGATGGATACAAAGCTGCCGCTCGGCACATTGTGGAGCCGGGAGCCACGAGCCGCCTGAATTGCTAGATTTAATTTCAGTAATTCTGGGAGACCAGAAACTCAGGAAGGAAAGAGCAGGTGATAAAAGAGAAGGGGGAGAATTTTCAGCCTTTCTCATCTCATTTAACTATTTTGCGTCTGCTGAGGATGAGGGACACAGGCTCACAGCATTATTGAAGTATCGTGTGGGGCTCTTGGAGCGGCTTGTTGACAGCTGAGCAGAGCTGTCAGACCGCTGGCCATGGGGATGACATTCGCTTTGCGCTCCCACTCACAAATTATCTGCCTTTCATTAAAAATAATGCAGTAGGAGGCGACAGAAATGGCCTGGAGCCAGAACACTTGGGCCAGCCGCTGCAAAGCTCAATCTGCAATCTGGTCCGGGCCTTGCTCCAGTGATGGCTCCAACTGGCTGTGCCTTCCCTGGGCCTCCAGCCCCAAAGCCACGGTGATGGGCTCACACACCTGCCAGGCCTGGCTGCTGCAGCCAGGGGTGACCAAACCCCTCGTAGGGGCAGCAGGGCCAGCCTAGAGCCCCCTTCCCTCTACAGGTGCTTGTCCCCTTTTCCTGGATCCCCCTCGATGGGGCAGATACAGATCAGATGTCACATGTTGGCAGATACAGACCAAGCAAAGCAATCCAGATATTGATATGCTGCCTATTTTTCAACTAACTCCACCTGGATATGCTTACTGTGCTGTCCTAGCTTTGGAAAGAGCCAGGGAACATTCTTTCTATTCTATGTCCCTTTGGCAAATATCTTTATATTTTTCTTTTATTTAAACACCCACTTCTAATGGAATCTGGTATTTTCAGGGTTTATCTAGCAGGTTTTCTCTATAAGGCAGCTCCTTCACACTACAACTACCATTGCAGCTACAACACTGCACACTCGAGTAACACACAGTGATGGCCTCAGCACTTTGCTGCAGCCTCCCCAGGGTCCTTTCCCTGTGCTCCACATGCATCCGCTGGTGTTTTCCCAGATAACCCACGTCACCAGTAGGCTTGGCAGGGAGGTCAGGTCTCCCCCGTGCTGAGGATGGGACCCCCAATCGATTCCCAGCCCCATTGCACTGTGCTGGGAGCTGGGCTTGCACGCTCCCCCTCTGCAAAGCTCATGCTAAGAGCCTTAATATTCCTGCAGCTTCAGAAAGGGGATTTCCAACAAGCATTAGGAAAATTAAACTTCTCAAGCGCTGTCTCAATCTGACAAGCTATTTCGAGCTCCTCAAAGTATGGTAAGTGCAAATATTAAAGTGGGGGATGGGGAAGTTGTAATAAGCAAATGAATGGAAGCTAGAAATGAGGCCAGCCCTCGCCTATACGTGGAGCATCCATACATCTGCATACATACACGTGAGGGTGTAGGAATATGCTTTGTTTAAGGCTTCCAGATGTGTTATAATACAAAACTGTAATCTCCTCTCCTTGGCCTCCCCCAAAAGCCAAGGCAGCAGATAATACTAATGAGGGGGAGCGGTTCTCTCAGAGATTTGGGCTTTCCTGCAGCATTAAGTACGCCCAGGCCCCAGCCCTGGGAGCTCCTGATGTAAATGGCAGCTTTGCACTCACGATGCTGCTCCATTGGCACCAGCCTGTGCTAGGAGACACACAGCTCCATGTCACAGAAGTCTGGGTTAGGCCTTTGGAGGAGCAGCCTTGTCAACTGCAACCCTCCATCATGGTGTTTTAGGGGCCTGGCCTACCAGCTCTGCACTAGGCCAGGGGACAAAACACTTAGAGGAGCTGATCTGAGAGACTGAGGGAGCTGGGCCTGTTCAGGCTGAAGGAGAGAAGGCTGAGAGAGGACCTGGTCAGTTTATAGAAATACCTCAAGGGAGGGAGTGAAGAGGATGGGGCCGACCTCTTCTCTGTGGTGGCTGCCGACAGAACTAGGGGTAATGGCCACAGACTGAAGCATGAAAAGTTCCCCAGGAACTTAAGGAAAAATTTCTTAACAGTGAGGGTGACAGAGCCCTGGAACAGGCTGCCCAGAGAGGTTGTGGAGTCTCCTTCTCTGGAGATCTTCAAACCCGCTTGGACGCAGTCCTGTGCCACGTGCTCTAGGTGACCCTGCGTGTGCAGGGGGTTGGACTAGATGATCTCTAGAGGTCCCTTCCAACCTTAACCATTCTAACAATTCTAGGATTAAAACAGCATTGTTCTTCAGAGGGTGGCAGGACTATGTGGCCTGTGTGCTGCTATGAAAAGAATATCTTCCTGAGCTTGCTATCACAGTCTGCAAAATAAACAAAACAAAACCAACTTGCCTCTTCAGCTGTAAATGATCTCACAAAAGATATATTATGGAATATATATATAATTAAAGATATTTTATTTTTGAATAAAAATATCTTTGAATAAAAGATGTATTATTAAATCATGTTTTAAAGCTATAGTCATGTCTGCATGCACAGAGAGCGAGGTACAGATTTAAATCTGATCAATGCTCAGGATCTTTCAGTAGTACAAAATATTTTCAGTTATGTTATGGCACCTATTTATTTAAGGTAGAAATGCCAAGGGAGCTGGTTTGACTTTGGCATTGGGGTTGGCAGAAGAGGAGGGAATGCCAAACACTAAGAGCAAAGCTATTGATCAGGGCTGAGAGGGATGAACGATGACAGAGAGCTGTAAAACGTTATTAATGGCAGAGAGGAGCACAGTGCTTTGGGGTTTTGTCTTGATGGCAAAAGAACAGAAAATGAGTGCCCACAGTTGGTGGGATGAAGGATTTGCTTGGAAGTGGAGCTGAGAGACAGTTTTCCTACCAGTCTTTTGCCCAGCACAAACGGCCCAAGGATGCAGCCCGGCTGAGTCCCTCCCCAGCCGTGACTGAGAAACAAGGTCAGCTTATTTTGGGGAAACATTGTAATTTTGACCTTTAGCGAGCACTTGGTGTTTTCAAGCCAAAGAAACCAGTCAGGCTTTGGCTCCTGTGCTCCCTCCAGTAACGGTCCAGATTAACCCTGCTGCAGTTGAAGAGGAATGGGGCAGAGGTGAGGAGATGCATTTCAACATGAACTGTGTGCTCAGACACTTCCAGGATCAGCTGCTAAGTTCACACTTCTCTATCAGCAAAAGCCAGGCCTGCCCTGCATCCCTGTATAGATAGACGGAGGTGATGATACCTGCCTGTTCTGGGCACCCCTGTGCCTCCAGCCAGCCCTGCCCTTCTCTTGAAGGTGTCCACAAATCCTAAATATGTGCTAAACTAGTCAGTGCTAATGGGGAAAACGGCCTCTTCACTGCTGCACCATTTCTCCTCCCCTTTCTCAGCAAGTCTATGCTTCCTGAGCACAGTAAATTGCTGATAACGGAAGTCTGAGTCGTCTTTGCAGTCTCCTATTATCCAGTAGGAGCAGTGAAGCTCCTTTGATAAAAAAAAAACACAAACCACACACACCTTAAGATCCTTAATATTTTAACTGACTGTAGAAAGCTCTAATTTAATTAATAGGAACAAAGGTCTGAACATGAATGAATGAAATCTCTGTTATACCTCAAAGCCGCAGCTTTTGGATGCTGGTATTACTACTGTGAGCTCCACCAGGTGCCACAGAAGTTCAGGTACCAAATAGCTAATACCCAACCTGCCCATGTGCAAGTCCAAAATCAAGCAGACTTAGAGAGGCAGCCAAAAGAAGCCCTTTCAGAGGGGGAAAATGCAACACGAGGCTTTATCTTCACCCACCAAGAAGGGAGGAAACGCGAAGACTGTGGCTGGTGTAAACAAACATGGTTCAGTGCTGGAGTTTGTCCCTCCAGGCTCACCGAGCCACATTAGGATGACTGATGCTGGAGCTTGTCATACATAACCCACCAGCTACCTTTAAACTCTGACAGGAGCTTCTTAATGAGCATTGGCAGTACACACAAATAGAGTAGCAGTGTTGCTTCTCCAACCATTAGTATTATCTACGTGGGCTGCTTAATTTGCTGTTCTGCAGAAAACCCTAAGCAGAGAGTCTGCATAATGAAGGATTTGTTGACAGAGTTCACATCAACTTAGCAAAATGTAGGAAACAAGCAAGTTGCAGGTGCATGTTTGGCCCACGTAATTTTGGCCCTGCTAACGCCCCTATCATGCACATGAAGCACAAGGTGCTCTATTTTGTGCAGACCATTATTGCTGCCACTTTTGGACTTCACCCAT